TTTTTTTTTTCCTGTTAAAGGAGGGACAAAATGCATTGGATCGTTTGCACAAATCAGTTCTTCCTTTTGTCATGAGGCGTTTGAAAACAGACGTACTGGAGGATCTTCCAGAAAAAATTGTGCAAGATTGCGTGTATGAGATGACAGATGTTCAACGCAAATTATATGCTCATATAGTAGAACAATGTAATGTTGGGCAGTCTGGTACAGTTCGTGCCAGTGGTCTCAATGCACTTGAGGTACTGTCAGAACTTCGAAAGTGCATAGTTCATCCTGTCTTGGTCAACCATAAAGTTTCTAACGGGTAAGTGGTAAAGATTAAAGCGGTTGTCATTAACAGTGCGATTTTTCCGATTTTATATTTTAATTCAGAGGTCTTTTACAGATTCTGCGCTGGTGAGCTGCAAAGGACGGTTGAGGAATCTGGAAAGCTCGTAGCTTTACGAGAGTTGTTTAGGCAATGTGGGATCGGCGTTTTGGAGAATTACGAAATTGAGGATTGCACTGTTCAAGGTGAATTTGACAGTTACACTTGTGATTTTTATTACTACTTGGAAGAAAAGATAAGACAAGATTTTTTTTTAGACAGCGAAGCTTCTCATATGGACTCACACCGGGCTTTAGTATTTTGCCAGCGACTTTCAACTGTACAGCTGATTGCAGAGTTCATTGATTTAGGACAACTAGGCTCAAATATAAGGTCTTCAGTATTATGCATTTGTTTTCACGAAATGTTCTTCTGTCAGTTGTTTTTTCTTTACTTATTTCCTTTTTTTAAGGTATTCGGTTCTAGATGGTACTGTTCCAGTGAATCAGCGACATGGGGTTGCAGAAAATTTTAATCGAGACGTCGGAATTGACCTTTTGATTCTGACGACTAGTGTAATTTTTGTGACTTTCGATTTACCATATATTTGCGGCTTCTTTTAATTTAACGTTCTCTTTAGGTTGGCGGAGAGGGTTTGAATCTTACTGGTGCGGATGTAGTCATATTTGTAGAGCATGACTGGAATCCGGTAAAGGATCTGCAGGCCATGGACCGGGCTCATCGTATAGGGCAAAAACGTACCGTTAATGTTTACAGGCTTATAACAAAGTCGTCTATTGAAGAAAAAATAATGAGGTTTCAGAAATTCAAATCGGATACTGCAAACGTATGTGCAAGGCTTTTTGTGATTTAAATGGTCAACTTCGTTGATAAATTCAAAATTTTTTCGCAATATATCTTCTTCTTAGCTTTTTCTTGTATGAGGTCATGTAGGTCTTGGTTGGTGCCGACAACAAATCTTTACAAACCATGGCTACAGAACAAATCGTTGAGCTTTTTGCGCTTGATGGTGCAGAAGGTCCTTCAGAAGTTTCATCACGACCTGTTAATAAATCAAAGAAGAAAGAAGGCAAAGGGCCTTTCAACGTCGATGATCCTGAAAGTTGGGATATTGAAGAGTTGTGGAACCATTCTCAGGTTGGTTGCTTGAAAAAAAGAACTTTTTTAGTTTTTTGGATGGGAATTTGTTTTTGAAAATAGCCAATGAATCCAAGTTTAAACTAAGCTTTATGCTCGTTGAGTTTGTCCTTATTTAGTATGATCGTTATAATGTTGTCAATATTGCTCAAAGTGCTGAAGACATAAATGCGAGGGAATTAAAACGACAATACCCCAATGATTCAGATTTACCGGCGAATAAACAGCGTCGAGATGTGTAAAAAGTGATTTTTTCAATTAGTCAGAAGCGGGTTATTTAAATTATTTGTGTAAAAATACTTTGATTTTCGATAGATTTTCTAATAGTGTCTGTAAGTTATTTTGTTGAGCTATTTTCTGCAGTGAACATTTTTTTTTATTTTTATTTTTTTTTTCCAAAAATGAGATTATTGAACGAAGTGAGAATCGTTTAAAAGGTCTAATTTGATGTTGTTCTGAGTTTGCTTTGTTCGAGAGGAAAACACATCGCTTCGTTAAACAGCACTGCTGTTGTCCTTGTCTGTCCTTGCAAAAGCCATTGAAGATTTTTTAGTTCAGTTATTCCCTGCGGCAGTGGGTGTTTGTACTTTTCAGTTTAGTGAAACACTGAGTTAACGGTTTTGGGCATCCTGCCAGTAGCTTTTTTCGGACCTACTAATTGAACTACTTCTTGGTATTTCTGAGAAGAGTCACTGTGAGATTGGGAAAAATAAGATGAGTTGTTTCTTTTTATCTTACTAGTTTCAAATATCCTCTTTATTAAATCGTTATCTCCGTTTGAGAATCAATGTAGAAATGGCAATTACAAATGTTGTATTTAATATGGGATAATGATTAGAGTGCTATTAGCTTTACAGTCATCAATTATTGCGGTTAGTTTTCTTCTTCGTTATATTGTATAGTTCGCATAAGATTGCTGCATAATGTGGCATTTCATACCAAGATTTTCGGGTACAGTATATGTGGAAGTCTTAAATTATTCAATAATTGATCTTCTAATCAAAGATACTTTTTGGTTAACTCAGATAAAAGCTTTTATTTCTTTTTGTGCGGATCTGTGCTATTGCCACAAAGTTATGGAAGAGAAAGCTGGTTGTAATATAAATGCTCAGTCGATCTTCAGTCGTTATTGTAATCTAGCATTTAATTTTTTGGTTCGTAGTATTAATGACTTCATAAAAACAGCAGATGGTTAGGTAACGACAAACGAAGGAAAAGATGCGAAGAGGATGGAGTAAATAACTTTCGTAGAAGAGGAAATGACACATTTTTCTGGCTGTAGAGTAACAGAACAGGTACGAAGTTAAGTGATGACTTTGCGTCATTGATGTGGCAGAAACTGGTGAATTAGCTGCTTCAGTCGTCCTGAAAGGGTTTTTAAAACTTTGATGAAGTACACAGCTTTATTGCTGACTGGAAAAACGTAAACTTGAACAGCACTTCATTTTGAAGAAGGCAAGATTGCGATCGTCTTACTATGATAATGCTAACTACTGCACATTTCCGTAGATTGGATGTTTGCAGTGGAGTGTTACACCGTTTTAATGTTGGCATTTAATGAGTGAGGACGTTGAGGGAAATATAATAATTTACGTTGACAACAGTTTACAAATATAAGTGGAAATGAAAGCTGTCATTTATTTCTTCAGAGACAAAAACTTAAAGAGAATTGTCGTAAATAGCATTAGATTTTATGATAAAATATCAAAAATAGAGAGATTTTTCTGTACAGATTTGGAAGAAGTAATTTTGATGTGGTTTGATAAAGATTGTTGGCAGGATTCTATAATCATTTCTTCTGCTTGCCTCTCGCTAGATTTCCGTACATCTTTTCAAAGGTTGGAAGTTAGAAATATGTTTCGGCATCTGTTTCTTACGCAGAGCTTCAAGTTTTTTCTTATTTATAAATCTGAGTATTTTCTAATCCTGTACTTTTTATTCGTCTGGAAGCTACGGTAAACTAGTAAAGAGGCGAGCATTCAAAAAGAATAGGGTTTTTAATCATCGAGGTAATTGTTATAGCCGAAAAAATAATTGTCTGTTTATATTAAGAGGAGTTTATTGTAAATTTGGTTTGAA